TGTGAACGTAAACGAGTCTGAGTTCATCACGAACGCCACCACGAAGAGGTCGACATTTCACTGTTGGTATTATCCTAGCTTTGATTGGGAACTGGTCGAAGCTACACTTCCCTGGTTTATATTTGCCGTCACAATTTTTGCACTGATCTCCTGCTATCGTGCTGCTGAATTTGTTAGAGATCGTAGCTGTGAGGAAGAAAAAAGAATTGCAAAGGGTTTCTACCGTAATGCTGGGCAATTTGGCGATTGCAGACGGTTTGATTGGTGCTGTATCCATGCTGTTAATACCAACTGTTGATTTGTTGATTGCGCATCAAACTTTTCTCGACAGTGTGTGTATAGTAGACTTTGTAGGAGTACCTGTAATGTTCTCTACCTCTCGGACAGCACTATCTCACTTGACAGTGATTGCTTGGGAAAGGTACGTGGCAGTATGCAAATGCCCGGAGTACAAAACGTTTTTAAGAAGAGGCCGGATGAAGAAACTTGCTTTATTCCCCTGGCTGCCTGCTATGATCGTAGCGCCTTACTTCGTTATAAGAGGGGCTAGCGGGAATGTTGAGGGGTTTGAAACTGTAGATGTAATTGAGGGAACATTTTGGGGAATTGTTGTTGTACCTATCATTTTATGTTTTTATGTAAACGCGAACCTTGAAGTGCGAAAGCAAAAAGCACAAAAAGTTGTCGATGTTAACGCTCTACTAAATGCAAAGCGGAGTGCTGAAGTGGCTAAAACTACTGCTGTAATAACCGGAATAGTAGTCATCTCGTTTCTTCTACCTTCATTAATAGCAATTTTAGGAACATATTTCGAAGTCTTGCGTAAAACTTGGTTTTTCTGATTAACCGAGACTTTGATGCAATTAAACTCTTTAGAAAATCCAGTGGTATACTGCTATAGAGATCGCCGCTTTAGAAATACCATTCTAGATATGTTACGATTAAAAAGGTCGGAAAATGCTTGGCACAAGAGGGAGTTACTCGAAGAATTGTCGTTTCAGCAAGGAATCCTGGATCACGAGATCGAAAAACAGCATCTACACCCGGTTTAGCTTTGGCTTTAGAATCCGTTGGATCGTCTAATGGAATAAAGCTGAAAAGATCCATGTCAGCTTCATAGCTTGATTAAGGTGTCGTGCAAACTGAACCACCGTCAATGTGACTTTGGATGAGCGGCGGAGACCAGTGATCTTATGTTATCGAAAAGTAAGCCACACTTTCAACTTTAAGTTGCAGGTCTACAGATGTGAGTGCATCATTTGACTTCACCAACTGCTGCCAAGAAACACAAGGCTGTGAAGTATACATAGGTATGAAATCAGTTATAAGAAACAGTTTAGAAAGGTCATTATCAGAAATTTCAGTCAGAAACGGAGAAGGGGCATGATTAGGATTCGTGTACCAGAATGAATTATTCAGTTTTAACTGACTTTAATTCAATTTGGAAAGGACCTTTTTGATTCTTGTGGTAAATGTTTGCTCGGGTCCGTTCATACAGACTTTCGACTTTGCGGTTAGTCAAAGCTCGATGCTCGGCGTAAGCGCAATCTGAAATCGCAGGCGTAAACTAGCACTACCTACACAGCAATCTCGCTCCATGGTTTTCTCTGATGAGGATTTGAGGCTGATTTATCTGTTTGAACCGTTTTCCTCTTATTCTGGACAAAAATGTCCAAATATCAGTTGGTAAGTCACTCAAAATGTCCACTTGAGCAGAAGGGCCTTCGAAGATGTAGGTTACGAATTTGGCAATGTCTGTTTCGTTGACAGCGTGGTTAAATAACCATATTTTGACTATGCTTAAACGCAGCGTATCAGCTGTCGTCATGGTAATTTGCTTTTAGAGGAGATGTACGGTTACTTCAAATTTGGATTTGTTGAACGATCTTCCCAATTGAGCAATGTTTAAATAATTCCACTCATGTGTAAACGGCAATTTTAATTCTTACAGCCGGAGAATGATTTGGTACGTATAAAGAGAACTTAATAAATCGATCGAAAAATGAATGAATGACTAGTTTATTAAACTCTTTGGTAGTGAAGGACCTGAATTATCGAGTGTACTTTACAATCTTAAGGCAACTATTATTTAAAAACTAAAAATTTACAACTATAACAGTGATAATAACAATTGAATCATTTAAAATATTTGAATGTAAAAAAATTCCTCCGTTCTCTTTGTCCTACATATCTGACTGTTTCGGAAGAGATAGTACTTTTGTGTTTTCTACCTTAAGTTGTAATTAGGTACCTGCAGGAGTGCGTTGGGGAGCAGATGGTGCAGCGGGTGGGCTGGGGAGCAGATGGGTGCAGGAGTGGGCTGGGGAGCAGATGGTGCAGCGGGTGGCTAGGGGACTTCATTTTTGCTATGTATTTATAGCACAGGTCTACTGTTGTGCAATTAACAAAATTTTTTCTAACTTGTACGCAAGGTTTGTGCGAATTTAAGTTCTTTATTTTGAATTATCAGAGATCGCCTTGAATCGTTTGGTAACTGTTTTGATTTTTCTCTCTTTTAATTAACATTTGAAAGTTTGGTTGGATTTCAGCTGAACACCTTCCCACCAAAACTTATTGGCAACAAATCTCTTCTTTTTGTGCTATAAACAATAAAAGGGAAGTTACATACTCTCCTTTTTTCAACAAAACCCCTATATCCCTCTTAAATATCAATTCGAACAAATTCAAGCGCGAAGTCGAGCAAATATCGTGATTTATTAGAGCCAAGTCGAAACCGAAGACAGTGGTAAATAACTGATCTGCGGTGTTGCATATGCCCTGACCACAAATTATTTGTGAATAGTTACTTGCAGGTCAGGTGGAAGTGTTATAGTTAATAAAAGGGGAACAAAATCAACTGCATGATTAGCGCGTCTTTTGATTTCGTTGTCCCCTTACTCATCAAAATACCCCATAACACCTTTTCAAATCATTTGCATCTTTGGTAAAGGATTGTACACTGTACACAGTACAATATTTGACCCTTCGATCTCATGTATAAGAGGCTTTTGGGCAATTCTACTAGTTACTTATCCTAGTTAAAGGGTAGCAGATGATAACATGAAATCGTAGTCGTGTGTCCCCGCCAGCCGATCCTAGATGGCGTCCAAAGCATCAAAACGTGTGATATCGTCGTCATAAATTATATCGCAGACGCAAAGGCTAAACACAAAAAATGATTATACAAAATAATAAATAAATAAACAGATAAATGGAAAATTTGAACTCAAGCTGTTTGTGTTGGTTTGCACTGACTGACATAAATGGTAGAGAAAGTAGCGCGAATTTTCTTCACCAGGCACTAATAAAAGTAAGGTGACATAACTTTGATTATTGTATAAGCACAAACTCATCGAATAAAAATCGTCTTTCTTTGATGATAGCAATCCCATTGGTCATACGATTTTTCTCACTGAATAAAAAAATGTCGCATGATCAGTCGGAAACCCGATACGATCTTTTCACAAGTGAGAAAAATGGAATCGGTTTTTCCCGCATTTCGGGGCGGCTATGCGAAGTAATTGAGAATAAATGTTGGAAACGTTCCCTGCTTGCTCAGAATCATAGCTTCAAGGTTTTACAGGAATTAATTCAGGGGAAAAATTTCCCTAGGACCAAGAAATCGAAGACTCGCTCGCCCGTTCGCGATTCGTCCCAACTCGTGAATAAAAATCGTACGCGCTCACCAACCATGAAGTAATCTAAATCAATGTTGCAATATCTTCCACGAAACCCACTGAACGCACAAACGACTTTGTTGAGGAACAAACTGGAACAAGACTTAAATAAGGAGGAGGGCAAAGAATTTGCACAGTCAGATGTTTCCATTTCAAAAATTTTCAAGTAAGGATTCTTTTCTCAATGAAACCTAGTTATATTTAAAGGCTGATAGTTTCTAAAGAAACTGTTTGGGGTAACGAAATAATTTGAATATATGAACAAAGTTGAAATGGTAAATTGGCCACCGTTACGATTATAAAAGCTGTACTTTCAAGCGTTACCCCTTCGTCGGAGCGAATAGAGGAATTGTGGGTTGTGTGTGCTTTTACAGGAAGAAATATTTCATTTAATTTTATTTATTAGCTTCGCCGACAGGCAGGGACCCCCCAACAGCTTGCGCCAATCACTGCGGGCCCTAGTACCCACCCATCCCACCCCAGGGGAGGACATCCACCACACAGTGATCTAGTGCGTGGGAAATTAACGTCTCCTACCCCAACTCTGCAAGAGACGGGACCTACGGTTTATTCGTCGTTATCCGAGAAGACTAGAATGTCTATCCATTTCCTGATATTATACAAATTAAAGGTAGCACATTCTCCTCAGTAATTTTAAGACCTTCAGTGTTGGTCCGGCCGGGGCTCGCACCCTCGACCTCCCGCTCAACAGTCCGGCGCTCTATCCATTGAGCTAACCGGGAGGCGGTTAGTTATCTCAAAAGGCAAAATTGATCTAACTAAAGTGGGAACTTAAAAGCTTGAAAAAGAATCGTCTGAGATTGGGGAAAAAAAGATAGAAAAGGCATTCCGTTTCGATTTCAAATACGGTGTGAAAAGTATCTGCGGAAAAAACAAATCGTATAACCCAGAAGCGTTTAGATTACTCCACATTGTTTAAAAACAAGCTGGGGTTTGTCAGTTGGCTTATCAGAAGTTTGAGCAGACCACCTAGCAAACTAGTTGTCCTCAACCATAACAAACGATTAAAATGCCTAGCACGGTAAGAACTGTGCCAAGTTTAAGCACACACTAAAAATAAATGATCAAAACTATAGATCTACCAAAATAGCACGTAGGGGCGAAAAGGCGAGACTTAATAAAACACAAGGTAAACCTAAAAATACTCGAAATATTAATCCTTGAAAATGCTCTACAACACTTGAATGAGCCAGTCATATTTTGGAACTTTTTTTCACAAGTGTCCCCAAGTGTAATTTAAATTGGAAAAAGACAGAAGTTTGGGGGTTCTACCTGAAAGCTTTCCACTCAATTTCTGCTTCATAAATGCTGATAACTTTTTTTATCTTTTCATCGATACTGTATTTTTGCAAGGAAAATGCAGTTAAAATAACGGGTTCATTTCAGTGACAGTTTGACCACTTCCAAAAACATGAAGTTCAAAACGCTGTTTTGTCTGTACAAAACCTAACCAACTTTACAGTGTACATTCAGAAATATTAGGAGACAATAATTTAACGATTATTTACAGTGGCAGTGGCTCTGCTAAAAGATTTGAACACGCACAAAATACGGTTCAGTACTTTTTCTTTCAACTCGAACTTTCAAAACAACCCTTTTTTAGCAATTATACGCAATGGGCCCCACTTTTAGACTAGTTATTTCTAAGTCAGCGGGTCTTAGACAATCAGCCGTTGAACCCCCCCCCAAGGTAATGAGAATATGAGAATTTCTCACTTCTTCCTACAGCATCACCCTCAGTCAAACATTAAGGTCATGAAAATTACCGACATGGCGTCAACTTAAGAAGGATTTTTTTAAGAAATTCCCCACGCTAGCACCAGCAAACTATAGAAAGAACAGTATGGGCAATAAGCATGCTGATCCTGATATGTAAAGGACTAATGGACTTCTTCAGTCTTTCATAAATGGGTTGTTTCTATCTAATGATTATTTCTTTTTGTAATGTTAGCCATAAGCCTTCTCGGTAATGTTCACAAAAATCAACGCTCATATCTAAGTCTGTGTAAATTGAACCTGGTTCAGACCGTCGTTTTGCCTGTGGCCTGAGGTCCACTATGGATTTTGTATCTGTCGCTTTTGGTCGCGTAAGAAGGTTTTTTTTTTTTAGGGAGGAATGAGGGGGTAATCTTACTTGAGTTTGGGTTTGATTTTCAGTAAGATTAGTTATAACATAATGAACATAGTACACATCAGTTTCTAAGCGGATACTTTATCAGGTTATAGAGCCCGCATGTAACTACTTATATAATAAAAGCAATAGAACGCATTTTCAGTACTCTATAACGCGACAAAGCCACATCACGTTATAGAGCTTGGAAAAATGTCTTCTATTGCACAAATATCTTGTGGCAGAGACCAGTTTTTACAACGTGGAAGCAAAAGCAGTGTAGAGAAGAGTGAGTGTTCAAGCCCGCAGTGCTGCTCTAGCCTTGTCCAGGATTTCTTTCCTTATCTTGGGATAGTTTGGATGGTGACTTAATACCTGGAGGAAAAATTCATAGGTTATTTACAATCCTGATGAAACCGTTTTAAACTTGACTTCTGTTCATCCATGACAATTTGGCCAACGACTAACTTCCACCAACTAACACTAACTTCCAACCACCGCCGTTTATTAGAAACAAAAAACATTCAAAAAACAAATGAGATTTTTACCTTGTGGCATACGTCAATAGCATCTACAAGACGTTTTGCCTTAAGATAGTTGAACGCTAATCTGTAACCTGAACATAAAAGGAAAAATGAGAACAATAGATGCTCAAACATCAATACTCTGCTGTCGACTTCTCATGTTCAAGCAAGATGCGCCATTTCATTTCAAATGTATGTAACAGATTCAGACCATACCTATAGTTGGGTTGTTTTGATTGCCATAAATCCAAGCGTTCTCGTAGTTTTTTGCTGCATCTTTATAAGCTTGTTCCTTTTCCATGATATATCCCATGTACTCCCACGCTTTACAACATGACTACAAACCAACCAAAAATTACATTGGGTCGGTCTCACAACTGTTAATGTAACCCTTCAACAAAAATGTGAAGGAATAGATGGCACATAAACAGCGTCTATTACCTTGTTATACTGAAGACATTTCTTTAACAAATCTCCCGCCATGTCAAACTTGCCAGACTGAAATTTACATAGAATTCATTACTCTACTTGATTTCAGTATTTTACTCGTTTTGTAGAAGGTAACAAACCACAATCACACGACGAAATGTAAAACCGTCCTGATTGGACCGTGTTAGTAACAATGAAATGGGATGCACAGGACTGAGTGTTAACCAAAATTATCCAATCCAACGGCGGTGAGATTCATTAACTTAACAACTTAAATTTAACAACAAAACTCTCTCTAGCTGCTCCTTGTACCTCCAACTAATAAATGATGGTAATTTTCTTTCCCAGCTTATAAAACAAAACATCATAACTACATTTGCCTAATGAATCGGTTGTGATGAACCACCGATACACTTACTAACATAGTCATAAAAAAAATCACGCAAGAGATTACATGCCTGAATATAAATATCAGCTAACAGAAGCCAGCTCCTCTCAAATTCCTCTGCTTCCTGAAAAACACAATGACTCATGACCTACTGTAAATACAAACCGCCCTGGAAAACGTCATGAAAAGCTGCCCTATTCCTCTCTTCAGGGAATAGTGTGCGCTTTGTAGGAAAATACTTTTTGTACCTCTGAGTTCCAGTTCATCTTTGCAATCCTTTTCAGCTGATTACGAGCCCGTGGTGTTTGTTTTAAGTACATGTAAGCAGTAGCCATGCCCAGAAGGGCTGGAACGCATTCATGCTGGGGGGAAATAAAAATAAAGTTTTGGTTTTTGTTATGAAAGGTAATATTACAACTACTACCATTCATAATCCTTCGTTAATCCACTAAAACTTGGAATGGCGAGAGTTTCGCTGAAACCTCCTTGAATGGAGACTTACTTATAGTTACACCCAGTTACATCAGAAAGAGAAACATTGCAGGGCCATAAATTACCCCATGGACTCAGCATTTTGAAGTAGCCCCAATTGTATTATACAGAAGGTTATCTAACATTCCATGCCTATTCCTTTTATAGGCCACTTTCAGATCATGATGTTACTATCACGCAAGCTAATTACTCGCGAGAGAAATAAGCGATGACGCGCGCGATCAGATCCGCGGGCGAGTTGTAAACAAACATGGCCGCCAGGAGCGTTTCAAAATTGCCGGCACCTCTATTGTATCCAGCGGAAGGGGTTGTTTGAGAAACAAAAATGGAAAGTTGACTTCTTGTAAGCAGGTAGGAAAATGTTCGGATGGCACGATCCTTGCCGAAAGTGGTCAAAATAATTAACAACTATTCACCAAAGTGGAGGTGAATAGTTGTTTTAGTGTATACTAAAACAGTGAGATAATATACACCGCTTCGTCGTTAATTTGAGTGATTTCTTCGCTTGTCACGGATGCAAACCGGGACGCCATTTTTTTCCCGAGTTGCTCGGAGGTAAATAGCAAAGGATATTCGGAGTTTGACTAGCCAATCAGAGCGCGCCTTCAACGCTATCCACTGTTTTAGTATATACTTATTTTATTTAACGAGCGAAAGGAGGATGGTGAAGTCGACACCCCCTCAATAAAGTCGCGTCAAGTAGATCTTCTTTGGTCCGCGAAAAATTTATGTGGATACCTCTGAGTGCTACGATTTGTTTCGCATTCAATTTGATTCCTAATAAAAWGAAATGACCCACAACTTTCCTAAACAACTCACCGGAAGATGAAAAGGAAAATGAAATCATTGTTGGATCCGGGATTGTAAACATTGACAGTTTTATTACCGGAAATGGAGAAGTGTAAATGTTGCCATAAAAATAAACATAATTTTCAGTAAACAAGAGATCGTAAAAATGTAGATGAGACTTTAATTCTAATTCAACCACAGACAGTAAAATTAAAATAAAATATTCATCTTAAACTTGTGAGAAAAATTGTTGATATTTCCCTTGATAAACTGTCGGACGAAAATGCAAACTCGCATTTGTTAAGAAAGGATTGCAAAATTTGTTTTGTTTTCCATTTAAAACGGAATAATGAAGGTTCACAGTTATGACAGTGGCAAAGAGAAAAAAAAAAAAATGAAGCCAAGGCGTGTTCATTTCTCTAGTACCTCGAAAATTATAGAAATTCGCGAAATCTGTGACGACCAACAAATTTCTGATGTATATGAAACCCTGATTTCCGCTGAGTTTGACGCTCTGCTTGACAATCTGGAAGACGTCGAAGCAAATTCTTTTCACTCCAAATTGTTTTCACTCTTCCACTTCAAATTGCACATAAACAATTATACGGTCAATGGTAAATGTGCATCGCCGAATGAGGCCTTCGATCAAGC